CACCTTTCCCCTCTTCCCCTTCTCCTTTTTTCCTCCTCCTCTCCTTCACTTTTCTCCTTTCCTCTCTTCCCCTGTCTCCTTTTTTCCCTTCCTCCTCTCTTCCTCCTCCACCTCTCCTCTGCTTTTCACTACCTTCTCCTCGCTCCTCGTCTCTTCCCCTTGGGCACCTTTCTCTTCTCTTCCTCCTTTTGTCTCCCCAATAAACTTGGGGACTGGCTGTCTTTGGAACCAGGGATCTGTCACGTCCCTTGTGTGCTCAACAAACATTTCTGCCACCCCGAGGATGTTTGGCACTCAGCAACACACCTGTTTCCTGCTTTGGCTGGCCGCCCCCCGAGCTGAATTATTGTGGGTCACGAGAGGAGAGGAGAGGAGAAGAGGGACAGGCTCCAGCCTCGCATTGAGGGCCTTGGCCTCTCCCTTCCCCCCAATCATAAAAATAAAAAAAAGGGGAAGAAAGGTTATCCTCAACTTACAGCCGTTCTTTGACCGTCATCGCAGTGTCCCAGGGGGTGTGTGTGTGTGTCATTGTGATCATCTTTGGTGACTTTCCAACAAGAAAACTCAACGGGGGAAGCCTGACTTGCTTAACAACCACGTTGTACTGATTTAACAACGGCAGGAATCCCCTTAAACATTAACATTGGGTGGGGGGCAAAACTCACTTAACAACGGTCTCACTTAGTAATGTGAATTTGGGGCTCCGCTGTGGCCCTTAACAGCAAACACAACAAAATCACCCAACGCCAGCCGTTACCTCAGTTCCTTCTATAGAAGGGCAGCATGTGGAAGGAGAGAAAGAGAAAGAGAAAACGGAGAGGAAAACAAGTCAGAGGAGAGAAGGAGGCGCTATAGGTGGAGCAAAGGTCCTGGGTGGCTCCAGCAACAGACGTGAAACCAGGAAACGGGGAGTTCTAGCTTTGCTTTCGGCATGAAAGCCGCCTGGGTGACTTTCAGCCAATCACCAGGAGACGGCGAGTTCTAGTCCCACCTTAGACAGGAAAACCAGTTGGGTGACTTTGGGCCAGTCCCTCCCTCTCATCCCAGTCTACCTCATAGGATCGTTGCTGTGGGGAAAATAGGAAGAGGGAGGGGTTATTATGTATGTTTACCCCCTCTGAACTTGCTTGCTTTCTTGCAGACCTTTCATGACCCAACTAGGTAACGTCATCAGTGCTAGAAGGCAGCGGGGTTTTGCTCTTATTTTGACACCTGACTGGCTTGACCGGGCAATGAGATGTCTCTTACCATGGCCCACTGCCGAGCTTTGATCCGCATCTGGGTATAGCTCCGCTCTTCCGCGTACAGGGCACCCATGAAGGAACCGATGGACGTGCCACCAATCATGTCAATAGGAATCCCAGCCTCGTTCAGCGCTCTGATCACCCCGACTTGGGAGCAGCCTCTGGACAGGCAGGAGCGGCAGAGTTGGGGAAAAGAAAGCGGGGTGGTGTTGTGGGTTTTTTTTTAAAAAAAAATCAAATTTCAAACATTTAATTTCTTGCAGAGTACATTTTAAGAGAGACGCCCGGTTGCTAGCAGAGGAAAGCAACGACAGTCAAAAGAAGCTGGGAAAAGTTTCTGGGATCGGTTTCAGCTGGCAGAAAATTGGCCTTTCCAATTCCAAGCTCTGAACTCCTGAATAGATGGGACACCAGCAAGCCGTCCCTAGCTTGGAGAGAAGGAAGGAAGGAAGGAAGGAAGGAAGGAAGGAAGGAAGGAAGGA